GTATCAATCTTGATAATATGGGTGGCGGTAGCCTTTGCTGCTGTTGGGGGGGGAGGGGGAGACACTTGTTTCTCAAGCCGTTCCTATCTCGCCATGGAATTTAATAGTACATATGGCTAACTCACACGATGAGGAACAAGTAGATATGCGGCGATATTCACGGACAATACTACGATCTCCTGCGTTTGTTTGAATACGGGGGATTCCCTCCTGAAGCTAACTACCTCTTCCTTGGAGACTACGTAGATAGAGGTAAACAATCGCTCGAGACGATCTGTCTCCTTTTGGCATACAAAATCAAATATCCAGAAAACTTCTTCATCCTCCGCGGGAACCACGAGTGCGCGTCGATCAACCGTATCTACGGTTTCTACGATGAATGTAAACGGAGATACAACATCAAGCTGTGGAAGACGTTCACTGATTGCTTCAATTGCCTGCCAATCGCTGCTATAATTGACGAAAAAATCTTCACCATGCACGGTGGTCTAAGTCCCGACTTAAACTCTATGGAGCAGATCCGCCGGGTAATGCGTCCTACTGATGTAAGTGTTCGAATTTTACATCGGCCCCTCCCCTTTGCACAATTTAACATCAGTAAAATCATGGGGCTTCTTGCAGCAGAAGTCTCCGAGCTCTGCAAGGCTCAGGATCCGCTGACCAATATAGATTCCTGACTGCGGTCTTCTCTGCGATCTTCTGTGGTCCGATCCAGATAAAGATATAACTGGATGGAGCGAAAACGATAGAGGCGTGTCATTCACGTTCGGACCTGACGTCGTTTCACGATTCCTACAAAAGCACGATATGGACCTTATATGTCGTGCCCATCAGGTTGTCGAGGACGGCTATGAGTTTTTCTCGAAACGACAGTTGGTCACACTCTTTAGCGCGCCCAACTATTGTGGAGAATTCGACAACGCAGGAGCCATGATGAGCGTTGATGAGAGCCTGTTATGTTCCTTCCAGGTAAGATGGCTCCTGTTTATATCACGGCATCGCAGCCCGCGCACAAAAAAGAATTCATATGAAATTACCCAAAATAGCTAACACCAACTTTCCCCCTCGCAGATCCTGAAACCAGCCGAAAAGAAACAAAAGTACGTCTACGGTGGCATGAGCAGTGGCAGACCCATCACTCCTCCTAGGAAACAAAAGAAGAAGTGAGAAAGAAATCATACGAGCTTTTCCATTTGTAGCAGGTTCGGGCGGAGATAAGAACTCTAGTCAAAACTTCCCACCTCGATATAACAAAAACACGCACGGGCACGAGAGATGGATAACCTGGAAAATGGCATCAGAAAGCGAGCCGGCCAATCCCCCTCCCTCACATTCAAACACGACCAAGCGACATCAGTAATAATAGTAACAGCATGCATGAGCCGCCTTCTTCCCCGCCTCCATTCCTTTTGCCTCGATTTCTTTCAAGAACCAGCTTAACCGACATGAAACTGAGTATTGGACTTCTTAAATGGCCTTTTTCTTGATTTCTCTTGTACGCTCCTCTGGTTTTGTTTTGTTTTGTTTTTTTTTTTTGTTTTCTTTTTTCTCCTCAGTAATAGGTCTTGAATTACTTTATTCGGTAACTTGATTTTTCCTTTTTCCTACTTTTCCTTAAAACTCATATGTAGCTGATAATAATCAACCCTGCCGACAATCGCCGCCGCCGTCGTCGTCTTAAAATATTCTTGTTCTAGTTTTCCTCTCCATCCCTCCTTCTTTTATCAACTCTCTCTTCTCTCTCTCTCCGCACGTGCGCGAGTTTCAAATATTCCCATTTTCTGTCCTCTTTCGCCTCACTTTGCCTTCCTTTGCTTTCTCTCCCCTTTGTAGCGAGAAAGCAAGGGAGAGGAGAGAGAGAACGAGCTTGTTGGGTGTATTTTGGCCGCATTCCCTCCCGCTTTTCGTTCCGCGCGCATGGCCCCCCTATCCAAAGGAGAAGGGACCTTTCTCTCCCGGCACTCACAGCGTGTTTTTGGTGGTATTCGAGGTGTCAAATGAGCAAAGCAAAAATGCCAAAACAAAATGGACAAGCTGATTGATTTCCTTCGTCTTCCCCCCCCATTCTATTCTGCTCCGCTTTTATATTTTGTTTGCGTTTCTCTATTTTAACTCTTCCCTTCTCTTCCCCTTGTTTCTTATTCCATTTTTTCCTTGTTGTTTCAATCTTTAATTTTTATAACATTCGATTTAAATCTCTTGTTCTTTTTTTTATATTGCTCTTTTTTTTTCCCCTTCCCTTTTAGTTGTTGTATCTGTACCATTCGATATACGAAAATGCACAAAAAAAAAAAAAAACACAAACAAACAAGAAATCCCTTTTTTTTCCCCAGAATTGCTAGGCTTTGTGAAGACCTTATTTTTCATTTCTTGCTTGTTTTTTACATCGTTGCTTTGGATTTTGGGTCTTTGAGCTGATATTAGGGGGGTGGGGGGCGGGTGCCTTGTGAAATCACTCTATTATGTATCGACAGAACGGCTCTGAGCAGGCAGGCCAGGGAGATAATAGATACACACGGTGCTTTATTACCTTGTTAAATCCTATAAAAAGATTATTGTCATTTTTTTTTTTTTTCTCTCTC